AGTGGTAGAGCACTAGCCTTGAGCTGAAGAGCTGAGAGACAGTGCTCAGGCCCAGAGTTCAAGTCCCATAACCGACCCAAAAAAGTAAGTTAATTAAATAAATTATATGTGTGTGTGTGTGTGTGTATAATTTAGACAGGTGCAGGCGAGTCACACCTGTAATCCTAGCTACTCAGATGGCTGAGATCTGAGGATCACAGTTTGAAGACTGCCCAGAGAGAAAAGTCCTCTAAGACATCTCCAATTAACCACTCAAAAACCAGAAGTGGCACTATGGCTAAAGTGGTATAGCACTAACTTTGAGCACAAAAAGGCTCAGGGACAGTGTCCAGGCACTGAGTTCAAGCCCCACAAATGGCAAATAAATAAATAAATATTGAAGATTGTGGTATAAAGCCATCACAGGCAAAAAAGACTGTGAGACTCTTTATTTCCAATTAACCACCAAAAAGCTGAAAGTGGAGCTGTGGCTTAAGTGGTAAAATGCTAGCTTTGAGCAAAAAGCTCAGTACCTGGGCCCTGACTTCAAGGCTGTGACTGGCACAAAATAAATAAATAAATAACAAGAGTAAATTGCTGAAGGCATAACATAAGTACTTCCTGGGAAGCAAAAGACTGGGTTCAACTCCCAGTACTTAAAAAAAAAATTTAGTAAAATGTAAATGTCTTTTGTCAATAATACAGAAATAAGAGCAAGCAGGACTTTAAGATAATGTCTTCCTAGAAAGAAGTAACTTACAAAATTACCTTTTATTTCAAACATTACAACTGCCTGCCTCTAAAGATTTGATGTTAACTCACCTTTCACCTTGGTATGAAGACTTATTTTCCTAGTGTTTTTCAGGTCAGGGATCTACATGAAGCAAATTCTCAAATATTGAGATATTAAATATTAAAAGAGGTATTCTATCATTGTACATTAAATACTACTATATAACAGTGGCGGTGATCATTTCAGGTTTGTAAGGATTTCACAGCATTCAGATCCTAAAACACTTATTCACTCCCATGTCAGCTACGCATGATACCTGTGAGTGAGTCTGTTTCATCGTCTTCAAGTCTTCACTTAAGTTTTCACAACGTTTCTGTGATTCAACCAACGAGGAAACAGTATTTTCTTGTAGCTCACGTAGATTGTCACATAACTCACTGAGAAAGCCATCTATTTCTTTTTTCTGATCTTCTATCTTTGAAGAAAAAGAAATCACTATCTTTTGTAAACAATACATCAATTTTGAGATATGAACATTCTAACATCTGTTACCGTTTCAGCTACTGTCCACGAAGTCTTAAAGATGTGTTGCAGTTGTCTATTGATTTTCCATATAGACATCACAGAAGGGGATAAAATCCTTTCCAATGAATTTATAAGTTCAGTTGTAAGTTCATTCTGGTTTAAAAATAAACAGGAAACAAGTCTTTGAGAATATTTTCATTTCATAAACTTAACTACTATTAGATTAAGACCTAATACTTGAGCAAGTAAAGATGCACATTCAAATTATGAAATAAAGTTTTCTGTTCTTTATATCCTACACTGAGATAGCTTTGTTTCTAGCATTTATATTCATCATAAATCATTTAGTTCTGCCTCTGGTAATTAAGAAAATGTTCATTCAGTGTATAGTAAATCCTTAAAGGAGTCTAATGGGCAAAAAAAAAGCCAAAAGAATTCAAAAGAGAAGTAAATGATAATCATTTGGTAAGATTTCAGCACTCTGGTATGAGCCCTAACACAGGTGAAGACAAAAAAAAAAAAAACAACCTAGGGGCTGGGAAGGTGGCTCAGTGGTAGAGCGCTTGCCTTGCATGCATGAGGCTCTGGGTTCGATTCCTCAGCACCACATAAGCAAAAAGAAAAAAGCCGCAAGTGGTGCTGTGGCTCAAGTGGTAGAGCGCTAGCCTTGAGCTGAAGAGCT